TTGCTGCCGAGTGAGTTCATTTTTTGTTGCATGACCATAGTCATTATGTTATTTTGGGCTTCTTGAACTTTAACTTGGGCTTCTTGTGCGATTCTTTCAGCTTCTGCATTGGCCTCCATCTTGCATTGGAGGAACTTGATTGTTGCATTGCCTTTTCTCATCTTCTTACTGGCAGTTTGATCTCTGACAATATTAAGGGGGAAAAATGGGAAAATTGAAAAAAATTAAATTTACTATTACAATATAAATATTATTTTAAATTGCCAACATGAAAAAAACATTTTACTCTACCCATCTACATATTTTGAAGTTTCATAAAAATAATGAACTTAAACAATGTAAAAATCGTTTATCCTGAACTGTGGGCTGGTAATGATCAGAAAATTCCAGGAGCACTTCCAGTGTCTGTAGAACTTTATTTTATTATAGTAATATTAGAAAAAATACCATCTAAAATTGTTTTTTTTTTTTTTAATATATAGAATATTACTCAAATGTACAGTTTAAGTAATTCAGGATTAATGTTTATTTTTCTAAAAAAAATTTTTTTTTTTTTTTTAATTATATAGAATATTACTCATCAAATGTACAGTTTAAGTAATTCAGGATTAATTTTAATTTTTCAAGGTTTTCTGGGTTCCATTGGACAATACATCTTTAAAGGACGAATAAATTTGAATTAAATGTCTTCAAAATTTCATCATTTTTAATACCTTGATTTTGTTTCCTGAAATGTTTCTAAGGAGCGTTTCCTCCTCACCCGCCATTCGTGCTGCTGCTGCATCACCTTCCAATTTTTTTGCGGTTGCATCTTTCTCCTGATTCATTAGGTCTTCAATGCCTTTCTCCATTTCAGTTAGTTCTTTGTATGGTTTTGAGTGACGCAGTGGTTCAGGCAAAGTTTGGTATCAGGCTGACCTTGTTGGATTGATAACAGAGCTAGCTTGGTATATTTCCCACTCAACATCAATACGAATGGCTTTCTTGGAACGTACAGCTTGACTAGCGCCAACTTGCTTGGCATACAGGGCATACTTCTTCAGGTTGTCAGCAAAGCTTAATATGCTCTCTTTGACAGATTTCCAATCGCCTCTTTTCATACGTCTTTCTACTTAATTAAAAAAACACCTAGGAAAATTCTACAACTTGCTGATTCCGGAAATTACTATGTGTAACTTTTTTAGGTTGATTGTAACTAAGTAGATATCTGTTGTGTTTACCAGATAGTCTTCTTTTCACTTCTTCCATAAACTGATGAGGAATATATTTTGGTAACCATTTAGTATTAGATGCTCATCAGAAAGATGTTTTCCACTTATTCGATTTAGATGCAATCAACTGATACAGATGGTGGTCCTGCCTTTTAGCTGTCATGTGCCTCGCCTTAAATTGCACATGAAAACTATGATTCAGTGATTCATCATATTGATTCATCATATACAGTCAACTCTCCCAATAAACGTAAACGTCATGTTTACCTAATTGGTTCCCCGACCTTGAGTCGATAATAAGCCTAGGCATAGCAAGGTACAGCAGATAGGTACACCACACTGCATCATGTACTGTGTAGGCCTACTGACCTGAGATGTCATTTAAAATTCATGTTTTACTTTATTTTTACATTATTTATGTTGTACGTACCTATTTTTTTGTGTCGAAGTCTATTATCAATAAAAATTTACACAAATCAACTTAATGTGTATCGTAATTTATAATAAGTGTCAGTGTTGTTTTTCGTTCGATCGCCATAATCTGCTTCGCACGCTTGATTGGTTTTCGATGCCGCTGGCATAACCTTGGTGGGTCACTGAATGCTATAAATAAGTGCTAACTTATGCAGCGCCCCCTAAACTGCGTCAGCCAATAGAAAACAGTCAGAGGTGACAGTCAAAATGTCATGCGCAATATTGTTTTTATGAAATCGATAGCCTTATGTTGGGACCGCTTAGTTTGCCTTAGCGTGAGAATAAATGCAAAATGTGAGAAAAGGATACGTTCCTAATAAAGAAAACACACTCATGAACTTTTTTTTATCAGTTTATTAAACAAATGAAATCTAGGTTTATTGCAATTAATTAAATAATGCGCTATCGGCGTGTCACACGATCAACACTAACGATCGTACACGTGGTGTTGTTCTGTGATTGATAGTTGTTATTTGGAGTCAGTCGATGTGTCTCCGATGATTTATTTAACATATTTCGTCAATAAATCATCGTTTTAAACTGGCCGTCCGGTTTTCAGAAGGTAATTTTATTGTTCCGGACTTAAGAATTTGGCCGGAATTCGTAATTGGGAGATCCGGTTTTCAGAAAGTATTTTAATACAGTAAGAATAGGAATGATTTTGGGACTTTAAAAAACGACCGGTTTTGCGTGAAATCCGGTTTTCTGGGTGGTCGGTATTGGCAGAGTTGACTGTATAATATTTAAGTACCAATAAAAAAAAAATCAATCAAAGTATGTATGTCAATATGCACCACATGAAAGCTAATCTTCTATGGTGTGTATTTACAGTATATCCAAGTGGCATTTTCAGCCTGATGTCATCTTGCGTCTTGAGAAGATGATTTAATGATGGCCTCTTCATTGTGATAGCACATCTCACCTCTTAGCCTGTCTGCATAGAGTTCATGACATCATATTTGAAGTTGTCCATCTCCTCTGTGTACCAGGCACACCCTTGTTCTGATATCATATTTGTACAGCAAGTTTGATGCAGGTAGCATGTAACATAACATATGTTTATCTTGCCTAATTTTTCCATCTGTACTCTCCATCTTTTTTCCAAGCAGACTGCACAACACCTGCATATTCTTGAAAGTTAAGTTCCAAGTGCTTCCCATTGTATAGGGGGTTTATTGTCGACATTTGTTTCTTCAGATAATAGGTCCAAGGTTTGTGAAATAGGAAGGCAGAACCTTTTCTCGCCACTTATTGATGACACACCTATCTGTCAATTGATGGCAGAAACTATTTTTGTATAATCTAGTATTGGATATTTTTCAGAAAGATGTTTTCCGTTATGTATTTTTAAGGAATGGTAACAAATAATAATTATTTAATCTTAAAATTTCACAATCAACACAATTTTGGACTGACCTGTTCTATTGAAGGAGTGGTTAGTGAGCATGACTCAGAAATCAGGACAAGCAAAATTTCCTGAGGCAGGAGATTGCTTGATGTCATGGTATTGTTGTTGTACCTTAGTCAACACATACAGACCGCGATGTACTCCCATGTTTGATTTTTTTCAAAATCTGTAATGATTTGTCCACTGAATGGAATTGAAGGCACCTCCTTCCGATAAGTACATTGGCTTCAAGGATTCCTAATTTTAACATTACTATATGGCCTACATTAATCTTATGTCTCTTTTGAATTTTGACTTTCTTTCCCTAATCAGTGTAGCCTTATTAGTTTGAATAAAAGAATTTATTTGTTCAGGAATGATGTCATGATTTTGTTTTTCATTGTCAAGTGTGTCTTCAAGTGTTTTGAACTTTTATAGTTTCACAGTATAAAGTAATTCCTCAACGTCATTGCAACAAAACACAACAATGTGGGTGTCAAAATTATCGTTGGAGGCCAAGACAGCACAACACAACTGTCAACACAAGCAGACCGCAAAGTACTCCATGTTTGATTCATTTTCGAAATCTGTAATGATTCGTCCACTAAATGGACTGGAAATTGGATGGCATTTTGACTGTAGGTCTAAATGCCATCCAATTTCCATGCAGGTCCTGATCTGTCGTATTGCTGCTATTGAAACTAACATGAACCTCATGCATATGAGAGGCAGCGGCTTGTAAGCCACTACTTAGTAGGTAAACTAGATCACCCAGTGACCAGTGGCATACAGTATTGGAGTCAGTGTTAGCTTACATCTGAATCTGTCTCAATCTCTTCTCAAGTTAGTCAGTTAATCACAGGCCACAGGATTTCAAATTTCATGGGAAACTACTTTTGGTTTCCGTGCTCTGTGATCATGGGAAACTATCGGAATTTATTTAATTTTCATGGGAATCCATTTTCGATACTAGGCCTACTAGGCCTAGGCTTAAATATAAATAATTGCTTTTTATTAAATTAGGTCAATTTTGCCTAGGCCTAAACAAGGCCGTTTTCCACTAGACGAATTTATTCGTGCGAACCGCAAATTTTTGCCTATACGCATGCACAGTTTAATTTTCTTCGCAAGATTATTAATCAAATTGGTCAAATTTTTTGATTTGCGCAAATAAATTCATCTAGCCTAGTGGAAAACATACCTTTTTAGGCTATTTTTTTTAGACTTTTTTGATTAACTAAAAGTTATATTTCTATAATTGTCTAGTTTTTTGTTTTTGTTTTTTTTTTTAATAAACTAAAAAAAAAGCTTACATGAAGCTTCTTAGTCTTGTTGTGAAATCCAGAATTTTCCCAGTTGTTGCGGGTAGTTTTCATTAAGTGGGGCGCATCACTAAAAAAGTACATCCATTTCTCAGGATCAATAGGTTTAGCAGCATAAAGCAACTCACCGACACTGTTGACTTCTGAACAACCGAACAACTGGAAAAGTTTCCTGTTTGGAGCAGCTCCATCTGCAACTAGTGCCCTTACGAAGAATCGTACAGTCTCCATGGCATTAATTGCCACTGCTGCCAATGCTCGTTGTAGGAAAGTATGCAATGGGGGCTTCCAATTTACCACAAATGCTTCTTGCCATCAGGACAAGTATGTGTGTGGCTAAATGAGGTTCAGAGTTCCCACTGCATCTCATCTCGAAATCTGACATCTCATTCGGCAAGTCACCAATATCAGTGAAGCTTACAAGTAAGCCAGATTGGTTGTTGTAAACTAGGCCAGATTTCACCTTCATTTCATCCATGAGTATGGAAATGTTCTTCTGATGTGGCAACATGTTAGCAACATCATTGTCAGAACAAATTCTGTCAATGAAGAAGCCTTCATTGATCCCATGATGAGGCGATGTGAAGTGTGTGTACTTTTGAAGTGTTTTTGGATGGGGCATTTTCAGAAATCTCATTGTGAGCTCCCTCCTTTATTTTTTACATACAATTAAAAGTATTTGGCTAACACTTTTCCACTGAAATTATGATTGTAGTGAGTGTTTGTTAATTCTGGCTAATTCTGGGAAACGATTTTTCGTTTCCGTGACTTGTTGGTCACGGTAACCACAACCCTCAATATTTGATATTTGGGATACAGACTCTATTATACTTTCTAGTATTGAGGCATGTCTTAACTAAATCACCTCAATACTTTTGGAGTTTCTGATTGGATCATAAAGAAATTCTTTCTCTATGATTTAATTTGTTTACCAAAAAGCTGCTAATTAAGGCTTAAAACTGTCAATCGTCTGGAAAGTGTAAGTCTAATTGTCCAGGGGTGAATGCTTGTGATTTTAGAATGACCAATAATATGTCAATAGTTGTAAACCCTTAAGGTGTCAAGCTGATGTGAGTTAATATCATTATATCATTAAACCTTAATACTACCTGTACATTACAGTATTAATATGGCTATATATATTATTATATATGGTATCTTTAATGTTCAGTTTGAATTACTACGTTAGCCTTTGCTGGTCACAACACTCTAATACAAATAGTTCATTATGCTAGTGTCATATTTTGCTATCAACTTAAATTCTCTATAACTTTTTTTTTTCTGATCCTACAGTTAAATATTTTTAAACATACTTTTGGGAGATGCTATTTAGTTTTAGTTACTCTTGTTTTTGTAAACAATTTTTATTTGCAGAACAAATATGAGAAAGGCAACAAAAAAGCTTAAAATGTCAAAGTGTAACAGTTCTCTTATTTTCCTAAATTCTCATTTTCAGATACGATGATCACTGAGCAGCTTTCAATGTGGTCCGATTTATAGTGGTTTGTTTCATCTGAAAAGAAGTAGCAACTGCTGACAATGTGACTAAAGTCATCATTTGATTGATATGATGGCTACACATTTCCACCTCGTGAGAAAAACAAAACAAAACAACAAAAACAACAAAACAAAACAAGTTTTTTTTTTTGGTCATATAATTGAATGTCTATGTAACATTGTTCTCTTGACAATTGTCTCCTAACCATTCTTATTTGCACATCCTGTTGAAAAGATGAAACAGACAAAAAAAATCACTAAAAATGTCGAAATTATTAATATTAATATATACTATATTTTTAATGTCATTTTCGGAAGCAAAGTATATGAACAGTTCTTGCACTATGTTTAATTTTCTTCTACTTGTCCTTTTCGGAAGCATTGCTGAGGCAGGAGCCTATTCGACATCAACCATTCATTGTCAACCTGTATGTAACTCAACATAATCATCATTGTGTTCCTTTTCTCTAAAGGAGGAAGATGCAGAAACAACAGGCAATTTACAATCTAAAGTAACTAAAGAAATCTCATGGCAGCAAAGACATTCTTCATACATCCTATGGTTATGATGGCATCGCATCATAACCAAGCTCATAATGACTATATATGGGCATACAGCAGTGTGGCAAGAGCTTTAATCTGCAAAATTAATTTCTTGCTAAGCTGGTTGATTCATTTGATGTTGTGGGTACTAAAACTGCATATGTTCAAGTAACATTCAGTACAGTATTATTTAAGTATACTTTGCTTCCTTTCTGATTTAGCAAGTGTTTTCTTTTTCCTTCTGTGCATTTAGCTGCCTTTAATTACACCTTATTCAAGGTTACTCCCAAAGTCCTTAATTTATGTGTTTTGTTTACTTGCCTCTGACCATAAAATGCAAGTTTGTTATCTGAATGTTGTTTCAGTTATATTTATTGTACAGGTAGCACAATTTGAAAATCTGCAGGAATAATCTAAGAAGAATAGTTGTAATCAGAAAATGACAGACAAAGAAAGGTATGTCTGCTTGCTAATTTCTCATTCCATGTTCATTCAATATTTCAAAATTTACTTTGATCACCATTGGAAATGAAGGGCATCAGGAATGATGGGGGGGGGGACACATAATTCCTGATGTTAATCTATTAAAGTTTGAAATATTACATCACACGGCTTTGTTTTAATTCATGCTTAGCATACTTTTTGTATTTAGGCGATGAGTGAATTGGTAAAAAACTAATTTATTTTGAAAATTAATAATGTGTTGTGATTTTAAATGAAATATTGTGTGTAGTGTTTAAATGAAATATTGTTTGAATTTTAAATGAGCCACTCAATTCTCGATTGTACTACAAACAGAACACTTTAATAAAATGTTTCACTTTCACCCTCTTAGAATGCCTCAGATATGGGAAGACCTGGAACAGCAAAGTTAATAGTGTCACGTCGCTTGTTCATCTTATTCCGACCAAATCCTGCAATGTTATATGCAGACTGCATCAATATAATTCACTCAGAGACTTTGTACCGAGAGATGTGTTTACAGAGCTGCAGTATAGTGACGTATAATTATACAAGCTACAGTTGAACTTGCCCAAGTCGAATCCAAATTGCCATTGAAATATTGTTTCGACTTAGGAAAGTTTAACTGTATATACATTCAAGTGGCTTAAGAACAAGCTTTAAATATTAAAATACCATAAAACCTCAAATTGAAGCCACCTCTCTTTAGTTTGCAAAATTAGCACTGAAATGAAGCCTATGGGCTTCTTTTCAAGATAGTATAGGCTTTTTTTTTTATAGGATAAATTCACAAAATATTACAGCATTCATTTTGAAAAGAAACCCCCTCTTTACTTTGCAAAAGTAGCCTCGAAAAGAAGCCCATCCAAAGCTCGCAATAAAAAGAAGCCCAGGGCTTCAATTCGAGGTTTTACGGTATTCAATTGAGTTGCAAGCAAGCACCTAATTCCATTTTTCTAATTATACAAGGGTTTGGCTTACTCAAGGGAAGCTGATAATCAGGGAACCTTTTGTAAAAAAGTAAAACATCGTATATTAATCTAAAATGTAAGTAGAAAAAGA